AACAGTAATAACATTTAAGGCACAACAATTCAAATTAAACCCACAAATTATACGTTTATAACATTTACAACATAGTAAATTTTAGAATAACAACCCACCTGGTCGCAAATAGGAGATAATCACGAAAGCACGATTAGGCTGCAAGCTCGGCTCGTCAAACAGCTACATTAAGTTCAGATGCTATAATCAAAATCTATTCTGACTTAGACGGAAAATCACAATCATACTTAGTCGAACTTGATTCAACTAAGTTGTTCGTGAAGTCCTGTGGACGTTGGAACACTTAGACTTGACATCTAGACTCAACCAATTACAGATGGGAGTTCACATAAACCCATCTAAGGATTGACCAAGTCAAACACTTAATGAAACAAAGGACGAGTCGGATTACAGTTTTTATTCTAAAAACCACATTTACGATTATACTAGTTTAAATCACAAAAATGAGTTGACCAGGTTTCCATATGAATTTAGCTCTCAAATTTTAACCAAAATTTCACCTACCAGAGTTAAGCAAAACCACAAATTTTCAGCTTCAAAACCCAAGTACACTATTTTACAAAATTCCCAAAAATATCAGTAAAACCGAGCCATGAATTTATACTCAAACTTAATGAATGATTCAGGACTTGATAAATTTACACAATAAACTACTGCATGATATAAAAAACATATAAAAATCACAGCCCTTAACATTAACTGCTGCTATTTTTAGAAATTCAAATGAGATTCAGCAGTTTATCGAATTTAAATCAAAATCGAATCAAAATGAATTCCAAAACTTTTCATATTTTAACAGCATGAATAAGTACATAAAATAAGCATGTCAGTAAAGTTTCAGAGTTTTCCAGCAAGATCAATTTACTAAAATTAAATTATGAAGCTGCAGAATAATACAAATAATTTTTAAATATAGCAAACGAAGTCCAAAAATTCCAAAACTTTTACACGATCTAGAAAACACAGAGGGAGAAAACATATTCAAATTTCATAATTTTTTAGGCACAAGGGAATTTAATATGCATTTTACAAGATTCTGCTCAGATTTCCAAACAATTATTAAAACTAGCTAAACATATTATTTAAATCTGAAATTTTTACACAACATGTATTTCTAGCAAAGCGTCGAGCACATAAAATTTCACGTTGATACGAGCATCACAGAATTTACCATAATTTATATATCAAAACAGCAATTAAACAATTTCAACAATTCATAACCGACTCGTTCTACGACGAATCTGTCCGAAGTCTTCGCTATAAGACTATGGACGATACAAGTTCCAACCCACAGTGACCAATTCACGAGTTGACGAGGTCTCATTCGATTTCACCGAATCGAAGAGTTCGTCTACACATTCAACATATTTATCCAAACCAACTTCAACACACATTCTACATAAATAACCTTATGAACAAAATCACATAGGCATATTCACATGATTTCAATAATTACTTTTAACAATCAAAGAACACAACATAAACGAGACGCAAAATTAAACGAGACGGGTCAAGCCTTGTACCGTTCTCGGAAATCGAACAAAAACAGAACGAGGGGTCGACGGGAAGCACGGGCTCGTTTGCGTACGGCCTTCTCGTGGTGTGAACGGCTCGTCCGCTGCGCGTAGGCTCGCCGGCAGAACGTGCACGTCACTGTCGGCTCGAGGCGAGGTGCTGCAGATGTTCGACGGAGGTGCAGCGTCGGAGGAGGGCTCGTTGTCGTGTTACAGGGGCTCGCCGGGCTTGGATGCTCCGACGTGGAGGAGATGCCCGCCGGACTGGTTCACGGTGGAGGAAACCCGCCGGAGTTGCTGCTGTCACGGAAGGCTCGCGAATAGAAATCACGAAGGAGTGTTCACGGCGTGGCAGAGCTTTGGTCGTGGCGTGTCTGGGGTCGCGGCGGGGCATCGCGGCGTGACGAGTATCTGTTCGCGGCGTGGTGGATCTGCAGACAGGGTCGTCGAGCTTCTATTGGGATGTTTCTGCACGAAGAAGAAGTCGCCGGAGATGGTCGTCGAATTTGGGCTGGTCGTGGCGGAGGGGCAGCGACTGATTGGTGGGTTCACGGCGACCTGATTTGGCGGCTGAGATTAAGATGGTGGTTACGATCTGATTTTTGCAGAGGGCCGACGGTCGGGAAGTTTCAGAGGAAGATGATGGCGAGCGATAAGAGGATGGAGGAAAAAGACGATCGGGTTTGAGAACGAGATTTTCCTTTTCTCTATTGCTCAATCGCGACCGAAGGAAGAAAAGATATCCAAAGCTGCGGGTTTGGGCAATTCGAGGAATAGAGACATATACATATATGTATAACTGGGTCAATTATTCTTGTCAAACAAGAAAATTGAATCCCACGTACACACACACACAAGCACACGTGCACGGTTTTGGGCTGGCCGGGCTCACGGGTTTGGACGAATGCGAAGACTCGGGCTCGATAAATTAATCGGATGATATATATATATATATATATATATATACTTATAATACACACAATTTAATTTTTAAAAATAATAATATTAATAAAATACAAATACACATTCTATTTAAATAATAACACTTAGACAAATAAGCAAATAATCACAAATTGGCAATTAAATAATATTTAAACAATTAGACATTTAAATAACATTTAGCATTCAAATAATAATAATAATCACAACAAATAAAGATAAATAATAATAATAATAATAATAATAATAATAATAAGGCATAATGGCGAGAAAATACATGACCTTTACTTGATTGGCCATTTAATCACGATTTTCAAACCTTGGCAAACAAATACATGACCTTTACATTCTTGACAACTTGATACATGGATTTAACGTCCGTCAACGGAAAGGTGACGTGGGTCTGACTCAGCAAACAGAAGCCAAATCATCAGTTAAACCTTGGCAGTTTAGTACACCACCTTTGCTTTTTTGGCAACCTGATACACGAACTTACCATTTTTTGGCAAAAAGCTACCACATCATCATTTTATTTTATTTTTTTATTTAAATTCATTTAATTTACTTTTATTATTTTTATTTATTTTAATTGTACTTTTACTATTGAAATTATGTTTATAATTTAAATATATAGTGATTACAAACAAAAAACAAATAAAAAAATATATTATTTTATTTAATTTTTAATTTATATGTTTTATTTTATTCTAGTTTAATATTTTTTAATATTTAGTATATTCAGTATTTAATTAATAAATTAATATTAATATAGTAAATAATGAATAATAAATAATAGAACATATATATAGAATTCAATAAAACATATAATTAAAATCTAATATATTTATTTATTTAGATAAATAATTTTACATGATTTATATTATATGTATTTAATATATTTATTTATTTAGTTTATTCGTATATTTTTTATTTAAGTATGTTAAATAATAATAAAAGTAAATTTCAGAAAATTAAATAAATAAATAATAATATTATATTTATATTATAAATATTTATATTATAAATATTTATTTAATGCTTAAATAAAATTTATTTGAAACTAAATAAGATAAAATAGTATTAAAAAACCACACAAATGATAATAAAAGAAGGTCCAAAAAAAATTTGTCATCGAGGAAGAAAAGAAAACCTAACCCCAAATCCATCGAGTCTCGTCCTTCATCAATTTGCGGTGCCTTTCCCGGCGACGGCGAGCTAGGGCCAGCGGTCGCCTTTGACCGCTCGGCCACCCCCTGTTCTGTTCGCGTCCGCCTCCGTCGTTGCTGAGGCTGTTGGAAGCTTGGAGTTTCAAACCTTGGTTGCCGTCGGGTCTAGTGGTGGAGAGCCTCAATCAGCCGATGGATCTTCGTTGGGTCGGCAATTGTAGTCTTCTCTGCCAGTGGGTCTTCGATTACCGTAGGTTAGTCCCTCGATCTGTTTCGGATCGGTGTCATCGGTCGGCCTTGCCTTTTGGTGGGGCTGCCGGAGAGGCCCTCGGACTACCGCGGTCTTTGGTGGTTTGGTTTGGTCGTGATTGCCTTCTGGTGGGGCTTCTAGGGAGGACCTCTGAGCGTGGATTTCCGGCGGGTTTTGGTGGGGCGGGGAGGAGTGCGGGCTATAAGGGGTGGGGTGAGACTCTTGTTCTTCCGACCTTTGTGTCGGGGAATCTGGAGTTGGGGATCGAGTCACTCTCTCCCTTCTGGTTTTCTGGTGTTAGAAACTTGGGGGGTTTGGCTCAGCCGAGCCTGGCTAGTGGTGTTAGGCGAGCTCGTGCGGGGTCGATGTGGGGAGCTGGCTGGTTATCCTCTCGATTGAAGGTGCGTTTGGTTCGGGTTAGATTTGGGGTCTCGGTTTGGCTTCTGTGTAGGCGTTCGGCAGCAGTTTCGGAAGTTGTGCCCGGGGCTTTGGATCTTTCCTGGATTGATTGGTTCTCTGCTGGTTTCGATCCGTTTGGTTGCTGGGGAAGGGCGATTATTTGTTATACTTAGTTGTTTTGTTGATGNACATATATATATATAGGGTCGCGCTCACACGAGAATGGGGCTTAATGCGAGAAATGAGAATAAATTGTAGCCATTGGATCGGATGATCTAATGTCTAAAATAAAGTCAAAAATATACCTTCATTAAGGGTATTGGAGTAATTTTTCACACCACACCCAAACAGGTGGGCCCCCTTTCACAATAATTCACGTGACTAACATTACCCACCCACCACATTAAACCACATTAATGCACCTGCCACCAACCCCACCCTACTCCACCCCACCTCACCCTACACTATCTCTCTCTCACACACGCACAAACACACACACATTCACGGCCCCAACACCGCCGCCTGCAGCCGCACGTCAGCCCCCGCTACCACCCATACTCCCAACTCCGGTCAGGCGTCGTCACGGTGAAAATTCAGGTGCTGCCGTCCGTCAGTCCGCCACTGCTCGTCCGCCGCTGCCAGTCCGCCGCCGCCTCCACCGCTCTTCCACCCGTTGACCTCCCACTGCGCCGCACACAGAACCGCCTAAGGCCATCTCGACGCCAACTCTCATCACCTCCCCCATCGTCGCACCGCCTGCCGGAGGCGGCGACCCTGAGCTCGCACCAAATGACCGCTGTGTCCCTCCGCCACCGCCGCTACGCGTCTACACAATTCAAACCCGCCGCCGTCCACTCCCACCAGTCCTTCCGCCGCCGACGATGCCGACGCGCCGCTGCGCCTCACACCCCCTCTGCCCGCCGCCGTTCATTTCCACTAGCCGATTGCACCCACACGGCCGCGGGCGCCACCTCGTTATCCGAGCATCCGAAAGCCAACGGCGTTTGGGAGTGCGCGACGTCGATGGATAAGAAGGCGTCGGGAATATGGCGGTGCCGCCGCCGTCTGCGGGTGTGGCCGGATGTGCAGGAATGGGATGTGCAGGAATGGATTTGGGGTGGGGGTTGTGGGGTTTATTTTATGAAAATTAGATAAATTGCAAGGACTTAATTGCAATTTTATGAAATTTGATTTATTTCAATTTGGTTCAAGTGTCAAATCTGGAATTTATTGAAAGTCTAATAAATGTATACTAACTATAAAAAAAATGCACATTATATACATAATAATTCATTTGAATGTTTATAATAATTCGGTTGATTGATCGAATGATTATTAGTGCACATTATTTTTTTCTTTCAACAAGTAATAATATAAAATATAAAATATAAAATTACAATATCATAAATATTAAATATAATTTTACAATATAAATATTTTGATAAAATTTCAGTATGTAAAATTTAATATATAAAAAATCTTAAAATAATAAATATACTTTTGTAATAATAACTAATAAATTTTTTTGTTTATTTAGGTCAATTTGATGTGCAATTATATCGACTAAATTTATTTTTCAAAAACACATAATTTATATTTGATTGTATAAAGTAGCGCACTTTGTATATCAGCACGATGCACTTTATACAACAACACGTTGCACTTTATAAAACAGCACGTTGCACTTTATCAACACACTCCACAATTGACGTTATCAGCTCTCCCACGAAAACGTCACGCAACATAAATTTAAAAAATGGATAAACATAATAGTATAACAACAATCACATCATTTATTCACACAAAACACAAGCACGTTAACGTACCAAAAAAACATTATTTCACTTTATACGTCAACACGTGGCACTTTGTAAAACAACACGTTGCACTTACAAAACAATACATTGCACTTTACAAAACAATACATTGCACAGACCGAACACAATTTTTTGTCAACCAAAAATAATATAAAAATTATAAATAAAATTATTAACGTATTAAATATAATTTTAATATAAAAACAAATTGTTTTGATTATGTAGGATAATTCGGTTAAGCGAATCGAATAAATCAATATGTTCATTTTCAGATTTATTTGACGTTGCGCTTTATAAAATAACGCATTGCACTTTACAAAACAATACGTTGCACTTTTTATTTTTTTTTTCCAAACGATATACTACATAAAAAACAAACACATAATTACAACCGGCTCAATACGTTGCACTTTATAAAACAATACATTGCACTTTATCACGCATATCAAATTGCACATTAGAGATCGAAATCGACCGAACTTTTACATTTTTGATTATTAGTTTTTACTTTTAAAACGCACATATATACACAATTTTGAGCAATTCACTTATCGTGAAAAAATGACGTATTTATAAAATTTTAATAATTACGTATACATATGATATTAATTTTTTAAGTGCATGACATTATTATTTTTTAAAGTGCACACAATCATACCATATTGTGCATCTAATGTGTCATAATCTAGTCTTCATTTAATTTTCACATGCCATACATAAATAAAAATACTGCACTTCAGCAGCGCCGCCGCCATCATCCTCGCCACCAGACTCCGCCGCTGTCGTCGTCCTCGCCACCAGACGCCGCCGCCGTCGTCGTCCTCGCCACCAAACACCGTCGCCGCCGTCTTCGTCACCAAACGCCGCCGGCACCGTCTTTGTCACCAAACACCGCCGCCGTCCTCCGACCAAACAAAAGAAAAAAAAAATCGGCCATTCTCCTCCGCCCTTTCTCCCGCGGCAGCCATCGCCGTCAGCCCTTCCAAATCTACATCGCCGGCCGATTAGGACAACAGACAGACGGCAGCAACAGCCTTTCTCGCCGCGACGACGACCACAATTGATCCGGTTGATGGGCTGCGGAGGCGCAGATCTACACAGACGACGAGCTGGTTTTCCGCCGGAGCCTGCTCGGTAGCATCCGTCTCTGGCGATGGGTTGCGGAGGCGTGACGGCGGACGGCATATGCGCGCGGCGGAACTCCGCCGCTGAGGAGACGGGTCGCCGGTGGTCAGTCTGAGTGTGTGTGTTGAGAAGTGTGTGTGCGTGGGGTGGGGGGAAAGGGGGAAGCAGATGAGTGACGGGTAGGTGGAGGTGTGTAGGTTTAATGTGTGATGTGGTGGGTCCCACATGTTAGGTGTTTGATCCAAAAGTCTCAATTACCCTTAATTAGTGCTAAATCTATATATTTGACCTTTATATATCTATTTATTTACCATATTGCCATTAATGATTGACCATGATTTATTAAAGTTTGACTTGATCATGACCATTGATATGTTGGATCCAATGATCCAGACTCATTCTCATTTTCTCGCATTAAGAGTCATTCTCATATGATCCTTTCTCTCTCTCTCTCTATATATATACATATATAAATATCGGCCTACGTGTAGGGGCTAATTTACTCCTACAAATCTACACAATCTTATGTGTTTATCGGCCTACGTGTACATCCAATCTACAGAATTCTCTACCAACGATTCTCATTCCCTCTCTATTTTTTTTTATCAGTTCTCATTCTCTCTCACTGCTTTTTTTTGTTATTCTTGCTATAAAATTGGGAAAAAAAAGTCAAAGAAACAAACATTCATCCGTCAGAGAAACAGGCATTAAATTGTCATAATTTTTTCTATCTTTATTTGTTAAAATTTGATTCGTTTTGATTGTGATATTTTTTTAGTTGATTGAGACA